ATCGAACTTTCACTCCTATCACTAACAAAGTAAAGGCATTTATAAACAATTGTTTACGCAATATACTTAAGATCGATTGACCAGAAACCGCTAGTAATGACCTGATAAGATAAAAAGTGAAAGAGTTGTCAGCTGAGGAAGAAGTCAGGAAAGAGCTCTGACGGTGCATAGGATACTGTTTAAGGAGAAAAAATCAAACAGTGTCACAAGATAAAACCCAACTTGAAATCCTTAAGACAAACAGAATAAAGCCAAAACAAAAAACCCAGGGCGTGGGAAATTAGAGCCAGGCATCAAGACCGTGAACTAGAAAAGGGTGCTCAGGAAATATCTCTGATTTAGTGTCCTATGTCCCAATAATGGTCAAATGACCAAAGAAACAAGTAATTTCACTTATTATCGCTTACTACCGATTCCAGAAATTATTATAATCTGACACATAGCTAATGGTTAAATACAATTAGATCCTTCTCGATTTATCGTGAAACTAAACAATTTCTATAAAAGACGTTTCAGCATTACATTTTAAGTTAATGTATCTTTTATTTCAAATGTGGTTTATAAAAATGAATTCACCAGTATAGGGTTGTGGTTATTATTAGATTTTTAATTGAGATCATGAACCGATTGATATTAGATCAGGTTTTCAATAATGGTCTAACATCAATCGATTCATGATCTCAATCAAAAATGAATTTACCATTGTTAATAATTTATTATTACAAATTTCACTTGTACTCAATTGAATTATCTTTGTAACTTATTTTTTTACTAAAATTATGAATAACATAAATTGTAAGTAACACAAATAATGTTGATTTTCTTTTCTATTCAATCCCAATGTTTTTAGTTAACTTAAAAGTTAATCAATGAATAATTCAAACAATAGTTTTTAACAGAAGGGGTTTTATGAAGATTTTAGAAATTTTACTGTTTGAAATCATGAGTTAATTGGAGCTAGAACACCATGGGAAAACTGGAAGCAAAATAAATCGATTGTTATCTCATTATAAATTTAATACTTACTTACTTACTTACGCCTGTTACTCCCAATGGAGCATAGGCCGCTGACCAGCATTCTCCAACCCACTCTGTCCTGGGCCTTCTTTTCTAGTTCCATCCAATTCTTGTTCATTTTTCTCATGTCTATCTCCAGTTCTCGGCGTAATGTGTTCTTTGGTCTTCCTCTTTTCCGTTGACCTTCAGGATTCCATGTGAGGGCTTGTCTTGTGACGCAGTTCGGTGCTTTCCTCAATGTGTGTCCTATCCACTTCCAGCGCTTCTTCCTGATTTCTTCCTCCACTGGGATCTGGTTTGTTCTCTCCCACAGTACGTTGTTGCTAATAGTGTCCGGCCAATGGATCTGAAGTATTTTGCGTAGACAACTGTTAATAAACACCTGTATTTTCTGGATGATGGCTTTTGTAGTTCTCCAGGTTTCTGCCCCATACAGTAGAACTGTCTTGACATTTGTATTGAAAATCCTGACCTTGGTGTTGGTTGACAGTTGCTTTGAGCTCCAGATGTTCTTCAGTTGTAAATATGCTGCTCTTGCTTTGCCGATCCGCGCCTTCACATCTGCATCAGATCCACCCTGTTCATCAATGATGCTGCCCAAATATGTAAAGGTTTTTACATCTTCCAAATCTTCTCTGTCAATTGTGATTGGATTGGTGCATGCTGTGTTGTATCGGAGAATCCTGCTTTTCCCTTTGTGTATGTTGAGACCTATTGCTGCTGAGGCTGCTGCCACGCTGTTTGTCTTCTCCTGCATCTGTTGTTGCGTGTGGGATAGAAGGACCAGATCGTCTGCGAAGTCTAGATCATCCAACTGCATCTTAGATGTCCATTGTATCCCGCGCTTTCCTTCAGACGTTGACGTCTTCATGATCCAGTCGATCACCAGGAGAAAGAGAAACGGTGAGAGTAAGCAACCTTGCCTAACACCGGTCTTCACTTCGAACGACTTTGTCAACTGTCCTCCATGCACAATTTTGCAGTGTAATCCATCATATGAGTTCTGTATGATATTGACTATCTTCTGAGGCACGCCGTAGTGTCGAAGAAGTTTCCATAGTGTTGTTCTGTCCACGCTGTCAAATGCCTTTTCGTAGTCAATGAAGTTGATGTAGAGTGATGAATTCCATTCAATTGATTGTTCCACAATGATCCGTAGAGTTGCGATTTGGTCTGTACACGATCTATCCTTACGGAATCCTGCCTGTTGGTCTCGAAGTTGGGCGTCTACGCAGTCCTTCATCCTGTTTAACAATACCCTGTTGAAGACTTTTCCCGGTATTGAGAGAAGAGTGATGCCTCTGTAGTTATCACACTTGCTGAGATCGCCTTTCTTCGGTATTTTGATCAGAAGTCCTTCTTTCCAGTCTGTTGGTACTTGTTCCTCATCCCAAATCTTATTGAAGAGAATGTGGAGTATCCTTGCAGTTGCCGCTACGTCTGCTTTTAGTGCCTCTGCCGGGATGTTGTCCGGTCCTGCTGCTTTGCCACTCTTGATTTGCCTGATGGCCATGCTGATTTCTTCAATTGTTGGTGAGCCAACATTGATTGGGAGGTCCGTGGGTGCTGCTTCGATGTTGGGTGGGTTCAGTGGAGCTGGTTGATTCAAGAGTTCTTTGAAGTGTTCTATCCACCTGTTTTGTTGCTCTTCAATGTGGGTGATTACCTTGCCTTCCTTGCTTTTCACTGGTCGTTCTGGTTTGCGGCGATTTCCAGAGAGCTTCTTTGTCGTGTCATACAATTGTCTCATGTTTCCTTCTCTTGAAGCCTTTTCCGCCGTCGTTGCTAAATCTTCCACATATTTACGTTTGTCGGTTCTGATGCTCCTCTTCACTTGTTTGTTTACTTCTGTGTATTCAGCTTGTGCCTTAGCTTTTTCTGCTCTTGTTCGGCTGGTATTGATCGCTGCCTTCTTGTTTCTTCTTTCTTGAATCTTATCCAGTGTATCAACAGTGATCCATTCCTTGTGGTGGTGCTTCTTGTGACCCAGGACCTCATGACATGTTGAAGTGATTGCCTCTTTGATCCCCTTCCAGTTGCTCTCCACAGTAGTTCCTTCTCCATTGAGTAGATCATGAAAGGCCTGGAACTTGTTGCTGAGGACTATCTTGAATTTGTTGAGTTTGTTAGTATCCTGAAGAAAGGCCGTATTGAACTTTTGTGATACTGTCTGCCCCGTTGTGCAGTGCTTCTTGAGTTTCAATTTCATCTTGGCGACCAGTAAGTGATGATCTGATGCTATATCAGCTCCTCTCTTGGTTCTCACGTCCTCATTAGTCCTCCTGAACGTTTTGTTGATGCAAATATGGTCGATTTGGTTTTGTGTAGAGTGATCCGGTGAAGTCCATGTGGTTTTGTGTATGCGTTTATGTGGGAATACGGTGCCGCCTATGACCAGCTTATTGAAGGCACATAGATTTGCAAATCTCTCACCATTTTCGTTTCTTTCTCCCAGTCCGTGTCGTCCCATGATGTCTTCATATCCAGTGTTGTCCGTTCCAACCTTGGCGTTGAAATCTCCCATCAGAATGGTCAGGTCCTTTGTTGGGCACTTCTCGACGATTGACTGCAGCCTATTGTAGAATTGATCTTTAGCGTCTTCATTGTAGTCGTTGGTAGGCGCATAGCATTGGATGATGTTCATTGAAATGCCCTCTTTCTTTGTTTTGAAGGAGGCTTTGATGATCCTTGGTCCATGAGATTCCCATCCTATAAGTGCATTTTGCGCTTGTTTGGACAGCATCAATGCGACTCCTTGTGTATGTGGTGCATTTTCTTCTTCATGGCCGGAGTATAACAGGAGCTCTCCTGTAGTTAGTCGTTGTTGTCCAACTTGTGTCCAATGTGTTTCACTGATCCCAAGTACCTCTAGGTTGTATCTTCTCATTTCTGCAGCAATTTGGAAGGCTCTTCCGGTGTCCCACATTGTACGAACATTCCATGTACCTAAATAAATGGTTGCTCTGGTTGTCAGAAGGGGCATCGGCCTCGTAACTTCCGAAGGAATTCGGCTTTCATCATGAGGCGTCATAATTCTTCTAAATGAAGACCTTCTGACTCCCAGGGCAGAGTTTAAAAGGTTTGAATAATTTTTTCTGGTTAGCGTTTTTTTAGCGAGTTAGTTTTCTACGGGATGGGGACGCTAACCCCATGCCCAACCCTCCTCCTTTATCCGGGCTTGGGACCGGCAGTAGCCCCCGGAGGGACTCCAGGCGGAGTTATAAATTTAATAGTTAAGTGGAAATATTCAAGTGTAAAAGTTAGTGAAAATTCAAAGTATCCTAAGGCTATAAAAATAAAACGTATAAATCACTTAAAAAGAATATGATAACAAAAACAAAAATTTTTAAAAAATAATATTTCACCCCAAAGCACAAGCAGATAGCTATCAGGATTCAATAGCTGAGTAGATAACGTGATAGGTTCGAGTCTCAGAGTGAACATCAACTCTGACTTGCTGGTACATCAAACTGATAAATCTCAAATAGGAAGAAATACTCGTCCTGGATTCCGTTGTTAGCCAATATCCATCTTTATTTATAAAGCCTGTGATTTAAGGAAATATCAAAGCAGTCCACACAGTATTCACATATGCCGATAAGAGACTGATGGATTTCAGTCCTAAACAATGATGGGAAGATATAAGCAAACCATACCAAGTGAATTAGTATTTCATATGTTTTTTTAATTAAAAAAGTTGTACAGATCCGAATATTCTTTTAAAAACAAAAACTTCATTTCATTGAAGGTAGGTTATCTACTTAAATTATGCATATATGTATACAGTTATCAGTTTCATTCACTCCCTTTGTTTTGGTTTTTTTCTTTTATGTAAGAAACTTGTTGAAATACCTTGAACTGAGAATTCTATTTTGTACCAAAAATATAACATTGAGTAAAGCTAATAATAATAGTAAGTACTTTTTACATGCTATTAATATACAAATAATTCAAATCATAATGTAGATGAGTAGTGGTTTGTAATGTTTAAATTATTAAATATAAATGCTTTATTTAAAAATAAACTAGGTACATAATACGATTATAGTAAAAAAAAGCATCTCATGATTTGGTGATACATTAAAGAATTATGAAAAATCACTGCTCGATTAGTATTATATATATATATATATATATATATATATATATATATATATATATATATATATAATTTTAGTGAACCCTAAAATTGGGCTGCTCCACGAGTGTGGTGATCAACTGAATTATGAAGATCTTCACATCTGAGGAGAACCACGGAATACAATGAACAGTTCGGAATCACTTTGAAGATTTGGACCTCGCAGATGAACTGGTCCTTCTACCACTTACCCATCAAAACATCCAGATGAAGACAACCGGTGTGGCAGAAGTCTATACATCAGTGAGCCTCAACATACACAAAATAAAATGAGAGATCCTAAAATACACCACGGGGAACATCAAACAAACCAACCACACTTGCTGGAGAAGCTCTGGAAGATGTGGAATCTTCCACGTACCTGTGAAGCATCATCGATAAACAAGGAGGATCCCATGCAGACGTAAATGCGAGGATTGACGAAGCAAAGGCCGCATTTCTACAATTGGAGAATATATAGAATTCAAAGCAACGAAAAACGACAACAACACAAGGTATTCAATGTCTGTTTGTCATACACCATCAGCAGCTGTCTGCTGTGGAAGAGGACAAACCAACTTCCAGCTGAGGACGAAATCGGGAGAAGACTTTGGAAGTGGATAGGATGCACATTAAGAAAATCACCAACGTGTATCATGAGGCAAGCCGTAACTTGGAATCTTGAAAAGAGACGGAAAAATGAAAGACTCAAGACTACACTGCTTCGGGAATCGGAAGCAGATATGGAAATGATGAATAGCAACTGGAAGGAACTGGAAAGGATTGTCCAGGACAGGGTTGGATGGAGAGTGGTAGAGGGTGATATGCGTAAATAAGTAAGTAAGTAGGATAACGAGGGGGTGAGTGTATATCACCCGTAAAAATGTGGATGTAAATTCACTGTAATCAACACATAATGTTCCAGTCTAGATGAAGTATTTTTTCAGGTCATTTGAAAGATGGTGTAACCCAGCACATCCGAACATACTAAAATATATTGTAAAACCATACAGAGATTGTCGTCAGTTTGCAAAGTTATCTCCCAAAATCTTCTAGAACTATGATTAGCTTGTTGAAATTGGAAGTGTAGTAGCCTTATGCTGTGAGCAAAGCATCATGTTTTACAATCAATCTTCAACATATTACACGTATTTCACTACTAGTCAAAAAATATCTTTTCTACAAAATTGTGGTAAAATAGCTATATCGAGACAGTTTTTAAAGGATACACATATGCATTTGTTGTTTCATTCTCTGTATTATTTTATTGCTGGTCTTTATGATAAGAAAACGATTCATTTAAAGTAAGTCTCATTGAATTATTGGTTTAAATATATGATCAATAATATAGGGGCTATATATGGATTCAAAAACATACATTTGAAGAATGATCAATAAAATGTTTTAATAAATGGTAGACATTTTGTCAAACAATACCAATAAGATATTGAGCATTAAAACGTGATGAAGTTGTCACGACTACTTGTCATGGTTACTTTAATCAGGTTAATTGTTTCTAATTAGTATAAACAAATCATAAGTGTTCTTGATTGCATGTACATACGATTATAAACCATAATCAATTTTGACTTTCAGGAGTTTTGATTTATTACACTATGGTACCGATAACATAGATATCTATTAGTTTTTGTAGGCAATGTTTACTTAAAAATTTATTGATTTTTATAAAACATCATCGCTGATTGATTTGTAACAAACATGTTGAATGCATAATGTGTTATTTAAACAATTTGGTATTTTCTAAAACATCATGTGGTTAATTTAACATTAACACAGTTTTCACAAATGAATGCAATGAAGAAGTGAAACAGATGATTTGGTAAGAGTTTGATAATGTATTGTTACAGATTTCCAATTTGGAAGTTTAATTAAACCGGATGAAAATATATGAAAAACAAATTCTGGCATATGACTTCATAGATTTCAATACAGTTTACAATGTCGGAAAACTTTTAGATTTGATGGTCAAATATTTCAAATCATATATAAGTTTCACTTACTGTTTATCTCATCTGAAAGTTTACTACTTATTACTTACCTTCGCCTGTTACCCCTCATGAAGGAGAATAGGCCGTCCACTAGAACTCTCCATTCAACTATGACCTGGACAATCCTTTCCAGTTCTTTCCAGTTCCCATTAATCCTTAACATATCTGTTTCCAATAGCCGACGTAGTGTGTTCTTCGGCCTAATACTTTTTCGTTTCCCTCCACAATTCCAAGTTAACGCTTGTCTAGAGATACAGTCTGATGATTTCTTATCAACGTCACCATCCTTTCCTAATTTCCTCCTCATTTGGAAGTTGGTTTGTTCTCTTCCGCAATACACTCTTGCTGATGGCATCCGACAAAGAGATATTGATTATCTCGAGTAGATGATTGTTTATAAATACTTGTAAATGTTCGACAACTGTTGTGGTAGTTCTCGAAGTTTCAACTCAGTATGGTAGAATTGTGTTAACATTCATATTGAAGATTGTGAATTTGATGTTGGCTTGCAGATAGTTTTTTTGAGTTCCATTTTTTCTTCAATGATAGGAATGCGGCCTTTGCTTCGTCAATCCTCGCATTTACATCTATATCGGACCTTCCTTGTTCATCGATGATGCTTCACAGCTACGTGGAAGACTCCACATCTTCCAGAGCTTCTCCAACAAGTGTGATTGGTTTGTTTGGTGTTCTCCGTGGTGTATTTTAGGATCTTTCATTTTATTTTGTGTATGTTGAGGCTCACTGATGTATATACTTCTGCCACATCGGTTGTCTTCATCTGGATGTGTTGATGTGTAAGTGGTAGAAGGACCAGGTTATCTGCGAGGTCCAAATCTTCAAATTGATTCCAAACTGTTCATTGTATTCCGTGGTTCTCCTCAGATGTGAAGATCTTCATAATTCAGTTGATCACCACACTCGTGGAGCAGCCCAATTTCAAGGTTCACTATAAATCAGATACACAGTAGGCATATAGATGTTATTGCAAGATTCCATCAAGGGCAATAAATATACTTTTAGAAGTTAGTAAAAATAATATGAATTCCAAGATTATAATTTACGGTAATCACATTGCCATTAATCCCGCTTGACGGAACGATTCATCAACAAAATACTTTTGATTGACCAGAAGTGTTTTCATGCATTTTGAAAATAGAAAAAAGAGTTGTAGCACACAGTTTGAATGATTAATAATATTATACACTTCATGCAAATGTGTGACAACGGAATAATTAAGCTCATGTGGTTTATCCTGCTACTAAAAGGACAAATAATACAAATAATCATCTCTCTATACATACATAAAAAAGTAGGTATTCCACCTCCAGTGCATGAATCCTAATGTTATGTCAGTTTTCTCGGAATCCAGGCATTTAAAAGCCTAGAATAATTTTTGTTGTCTCCAAATTGACTGCACCGAAATAAATATAGAAATACATTGTATACTCTAATGCAGATGCATTTGAGAGTAACACTGACAATCGATGTTATTAGTTGCTTATTTCAAGTCGGTGCTCAGTTTTCATAGTTCGAGCATTATTAGTCAAGAGTAGGGGTAGCCTTCAAATTCAGATTTGATAAACATAAATAGAACTGATTTTATAACTTCTTAATTTTGTAATTGAACAACAATTCGAATATTACTACCGACTATGAAAATTTTGTAGTTGTAGTTAGAAAACTGATTCTAACTAGTAGATATTATGAGTTACTCGTCTATACTTAACGGAATTCTTATCATTTCTCTTTAACTATTAATTGTCAATCAATGAAAATATGTACTTTCATAGTAAGAGTATTTAAAATGCTTAATATTCAAATAAGAGAATTATTATTCAGTATTATTTGGTGTTTATGAATAAAATTGACTACAGCTGATAAAATGCAGCCCACGATCACCATTTACAAACACCTTTTTCATGTTGAACTATGTATTTATACGGATCGGAACTATACTAATTAAACTAGTGAACAATAACATATTGAATACTTAGCAATACTTTATGATAGGATGGGATTAAAAAACAAACTTACTTCTTTTTTCTTACTCAATGTGACTTTTTTGTTCAACATTCAATATGATAATTATTCAGTGTGGGATTTGTGTCCGTTTTCCAGTGTAACATTTTATTAGGTGTAAAATTAATTTGTTTGAGTGTGATGTTTTATTCAATATACGATATTCTTGTATTAAATTCAAACGAACTATGCTCAGCATGACACTGAGCTTGTGATTTGTTATAACTCTGGGTATCTTTCATACACGTGATTTTATCCTAATTATTAATTAAAATGGGTGTACAAATCAATATATAAATGAGTATATTTTCGACTAGGGTCGTCGTGTTTTGGGTTTAATAAACCTTCACTTGTACCAGTCTTGTCGTTCTTACTTCACTTTGTTGGGATTGCAGTGGTACCTCGTTTTACAAGTATAAGTAATACGTGAACCCAACATAACACTTAGAGACGACTAGACATGACAATTGGTGACAAATTCATAATAAGTGACGATCAGTCATGAAATGTCAATATGTGCAAAACGTGTCAATTTCAAATGCATGAAATTCAATTACATGAGTATTCAGATGTACTAGTTCATACGTGATTTCTTTTGTAGGCTGCAAGTAGAATTTTTCACTAAACAAGTTTAATAATTGTTTACGACTGGTTGATTTAACTAGTTGATTAAACATTGTTCTGATCAATACATGAAAACATATATATACAAATACAATCCTGTCGATATGTGTGCATTCTTATCATTATTATTAACATTATTAATACATAAAACTAAAACCAATTTCAATCATTTCACACCCCATACTATGCGTTATTGAAACTAGTAGAATGTTTCAATTCAATCAAAGTTTTTGTAGACAAACTCAACGACTATAATTTTTAGATCAACTCACGGTAAGTCATGTTTATTAGAACGATGTAAATTATTTTTTTTTCACTAATATGGAACCACATTTGTTCGAACATTAAACAAATTTAAGTGCAATATGTATGTTATTCTTCTAAAACTATACCTGGTATAATCAAAGTGCAATCGTACAACTGAAAGTATATACCACTCTTTCGTTCTTGAAATAAGTCACATCATCTGTTGAAAAGAAATTTCATCCTAAGTTACAGTCTACATCACTTTGTGTCCTCAATTCAGCACCCACATCAACGATGCACGTCGAATGTGTCTCAAAACCATCTATCACTTGAAAGTATTAATAAGAATCAAACGGATTAAAAAGTTTCTAATGCTCAAACACTGTCAGGTCTTCGAATCTACGTTTTTGATTGATAGGAAAAGAGAACTGACGGAATCCATGTACAGATAAGATAAATACAGTGAATTTCACACCTCCAAATAGTTTTAGTCTTGTTTTGTTCATGATACTCGTGTGAATTACTGTTTTCTGTTTACACTGAATTGGAAATTTGACCTATTTCAGGTAGTTTTTTCGCTCGTATTCACATCTAAATGGTAATGTATTATTGTAATCGGTTAACACTTTTCCTAATCGATCTTGTGATACCAAATGTTACTGGAATCACTGTATTGGGAATTCAAACTGATGAATTAGTTTTTCGTGCCTCAACACATGATCAAATGAAATACAAGTGCGGTTAAAGATATTCATTTTGTAGAACAGTCACTTGCTGAACGAAACAGTTTATTGTTTCGTCAACGTACTTCAGTATCTGATACCACATAGTACTTTGAAGTGTATTATGTTTCTAGAGTAGGGTTGTTTTCTGCTAGTTTGAAATTCGAACACAATCTTTCCTGACATATATGCTTTTATAATAGTGGTTATTGGTTATTATCAATCTCTTAATAAATAGATCAGAGACGACAAACCAGAGGACAATTAAAGGTAGTAAACTAGCTTGAATTTTGAAAAAAGGCAATCTATAGTTATAAAGATGAATACATTAATGCATACAATTCATATTTGCATCACTAAAAAATTTCGAAGGTCGATGGGAGATACGAGAACCAACAGAGTGGCTGATATAGCTTCAGATTTCCACCTGGTGGTTGCCAAGATGAAACTGAAGCTAAAGAAGCAATGGACAAGGGGAGAAACAGCTTTTTTGGTGCCGACTGATTTGACTCCTATTTGGATGAATGTATGAATATGCTATGAATATAAATTTTCCATTTATTCCGTATACTATTCAGGCTGACCGCGTTTGTTTGACTGCGGTAATAAGCAGCCAAATACAGGTAGCGTTGGACGAATTTATTTCCGACATTCGATTATCCAGATGGAGATTCAGAATAAGAAGAGGTAAAGCGAAGAAGAGAGAGCGAAGTGAAACGAAATGCCGCGCAGTGGAAAAGGTGAGTGGGCCGACTCGACCTAACCAAGCGTGAATAGATATCTAAAGTCAGAACGAAAATGAGCTACAGACATACGCTGAGTAGGAAAAGCAGTGGGCACACATACTCTCACCGAGATCCAAAGACAGATGAACGGATGGGTAGAGCACTTCGAGAAACCCTTAAATTGACCAGTCTCACGCAACCCACCCAACATCGAAGAAGCACACACAAACATTCCTATAGATGCCACTCCGCCATTAACCGAAGAAATCAAGATGGCCGGTCATTGAAAAACTCAGTAGTGGGAAAGCAGTAGTTGGACCAGACAATATATGAGCCGATGCACCGAAGTCAGATATAGAAGTACCTGCAAACATGCTCCGTGTTCTATTGAGGAAGATTTGGATGGAAGAACAAGTACCAACAGACAGACTGAAATGAAGGATATCTCATCGAGATATTAAAGAAAGAAGATCTTAGCAAATGTGCGAAATACACAGGCATCACACACTATTAACAGAGTCATGCAAGGCTTCCTAACCTCCCCTTTCTCTTTTCTCTGGTGGTTGACTGAATTATGAAGACTTTTACACCTGGGAAGAACCACGGAATAAAATGGATAGGTTGGATGCAACTAGATGACTTGAACTTCTCAGATGACCTGGCCTATCTATCCCATACAAATCAACAAATGCAGGTCAAGACAAATAGTGTAGCAGCAGTTTCTTCATCAGCAGGCCTTAACCTACACAAGGGGTAAAGCAAGATCCTGGAATACAACATGGAGGACACCAACCAAACTATTTACACGTGATGGAGATACTCTGGAAGTGGTTGAAACGTTCACGTACCTGAGTAGAGCAGCATCATAGATCAACCACGAGGATACGATGCAGATGTGTAGGTAAGGATTAGTTAAGCAATCATAGCATTCCTGCAGTTGAAAAACATGTGAAGCTCAAAACAACTGTCTGCGAACCAACATCAAAGTCACAATCTTTATTACGAACATCAATGCATTTCAGTTGTGTGGAGCTGGAATTAGGAAAACTAGTACGACCATCATTAAAACAATATAGATGTTTATAACCAATTTTCTACACATTATACCCAATGTCTGTTTGTTGGATGCGATCAGCAACAGACTACTGTGTAAGAACACAAACCAACTTCCAGTTGAAGTGGAAATTAAGAAAGGACGTTAGAAGCGGATAGGACATACATTAAGAAAATCATCAAACTGCATCACGAGACAATTGCTAACTTGGAATCGTGAAAGGAGACGGAAAAGAGGAAGATCAAGACACAGTGTGCTGGCTATTGGAAACATACATGAAAAGGATGAATAGAAAAAGGAAAGAACTGGAAAGGATTGTCGAGGTCATAGTTCTATGGAGAATGTTAATGGGTCGCCTATCCTCCTACACGACGATGAGTAACAGGCGCAAGTAAGTAATTAAGTTATTTGACAATTAATGCATCCTGAGGAGATTAAATTCATATCTTCTCTAAAGCTATGTACACAGTTTTCTTATATTATTGTTCATCAAGACTTCTAGATTGAAGGATTAATTATTTGTTTTATACACTTATGAAATGTACCTTCTATGTCTTTTAGTGACACAACATTCATCCATTTGACTAGAGATTATCACATGTAGAATTAACAATAGGTTTTTCCGTTTCATTGAAGTGAACCTTGTTCAATGAACATAGTGAATTCATAATAAATTTCGTTGTTAGTAACTAGTTTCTTCAAATAAGAGAGAATTCGAACAAAATAAGTTATTTTCTCACATTACTGACTGAAAAAATTGCTCCACCTACAACTTCAAGTCTCCCAGTCTAACATTAATACGTATATACTCTGCTATTATTGCTTGCAGAAAATATTCCTCTCAATGGCTCTGTGTCGTTTCGCTTGGTACAAACTACCATTTTTCGCCGTTATACACGCATTATTCTGGCTGCCAACCACGTAAGTATAATTTTTGTGTTGTAACCTCAACACTTACATTTGGTTACTTGTAAAATTAAATAGAAATTTTAAGACTCACAACTCTGATAAAACGTCAAACATCCATATTTCGATAAATGCCAAGACACATACATATCATACACATATTTTCTGCAATTTCTCAATAGGTCACAATTGAAAACGTTTATTCGGAATCAGAGTGGATGTTAATGTATCAGAAGTGGATAAGGTGATAATGACCATTATAAAACAATGCAAATGTTCACAGATTTACTATAATGTTTAGGGAATTATACAAGCGTATACTTTGCAGAGGTCAATTAGTATTGTGTAAATACCCGAAATGAAAACTTATCAGGTAACCAAATGAATAATGCAAACAGTAAATCAATGTTAGAAGCTTATGACACGGAACATACATCATTAGTTTACAGTCGGGATCAAAATAACGATCTATGGAAATTCGATTAGAAAATTATGGAAATAATTTTTTGGAGGTGTATTAGGAATGATCCTTCATGAAAAAGCAGTAAAACACACATAAAATATTAGGTTGATATCACATTGGAATCGTGTTCTTCTTCTGAATACAGTCAGATAGATTTGGTTTTCAGTACTGTTTGAAGTAAAGAGAGACCAATGATTCAATAAAATTCATATGAACGTAATAATAATTATATACCAGAATGAGAATAAACCAATTAATGAAAAACATGCAGATATCCTAGCATAGTATTCATGAATGCAAACTTGTCTATGTAGTGGGGTATCCTGAAGATTACCTGTGTTTAACAGGCTTTTGTATATATTTCAATCTATCTTAAACAGAACCCATATGATCTGTTCAATAGAATTATACTGTTTTCGATCGACTAATAGGTTTATAATAAAATAGGTTTTACGAATGAATGCAAACGTTGAACAACAAGACAGCCTTGTTTATATACATGATTCGAGAATATTAAATGCATGAAGCGGATTATCATCCATGAGTCCCACACAAAAATAAACCTGCTATCCGATATTCCTTGGTTTTTTTTTATATAAACAGTATCATTTAACTATAACTGCTTATTATTAAGTTTTTTAATTTGCACACTCATTTATAAAATTGATCTTAATTTAATTCCGAATCTAAGGTATCTGATCGCGATTTCCAATGACCATATTTCACCAGTCGTACCATATGTAAGGTGGGTTCGTTTCTCATTTCTATGATCAAATTTTTTATTGTGATTAAAAAATTTGTACCTAGATTGCTTAAAACAAACCAAGTGAATATAAGATTTAATCACTCATTTCTTATCTTATAAAATGGCTAAAAATGGTTTATCAGCAAACCGGTAATAGTTCCTCGTAAATTTCAGTAGCGAATATTGGTTTCATGTTACAGAGTAACAAAAATATACAGAGCGGTACTTTCAAAAGAATCAAAATGATTCATCTGAACAGTACGTATTCAATAACCTCCTAAATCAATATTATATTTGATTGTAGTTTGAAAGATTTCTGGAACACTGTTTTTACGACTTTATTATTGAAGTACTCCTCAATACAGTCAACTGAAATTCATCCTCATCGTGTTTGTCCAAAAATGTAGTGGTACAATCTCATATAGCAATGATCATGGTTTTCACTTGACCTGTTAAATAACGACGATTATTTGGAATTGTTTATCAAGATTTATTTAACATAATTACTGAGTGACTGTGATGAATACGAAGGTGATTTCATTCTTTATTTGGCAAAGTTATTCTCTTCACGTACTTCATATAACATAAACAGACTTATCACTTGTAACAGTCATTGAGGTCACAATTAGCTGACTCTTTAAGAAACTATCCAGAAATTGTTGTTCTTATGATGTTTTTATGATAGAGCAATATATCGCGCACTCATTGAAGATAAATAGAGTACACTAACCAGGGACCATATTATTTCTCACTGCAACATTATTGCATAATTTTCAACTGAACATATGAGGTGAAGGAGGTAAGTAGGTAAGATTATAAAACACATACAGAATGTAAGATTTACCAAGTGTAACATGACGATTTACATTAAGAAAACAATAAAAGCAAAGAAAAAAAAACGGGAAATAGAATAATTTTAATAGTTGAGACTATGAGTCAATTGAAGCTAGACCACCATAGAAAACCTAGAAGCACTGGACGGCCGTTTCGTCCCATTGTGGGACTCCTCAGCAGTACGCATCCACGATCCCGTCTCTCGAGATTCGAACCAGCTTAACCATTAGATTACTGAGCCGTCCGGCATCCAACGGTGTTAATGTCCAACTTCAACTAATCCACGAAATTGAGTGAAATTGATTTAGCTTCAATTGACTTAAGATCTCAACTATTAAAGTTATTATAATATTCACAAAACCCTTTCTGAAAATAGAATAAGAGGGTAAGAACGAAGATTGATGCAGAATAATGTGAATTCATTTTATTTCATTAGGTTCTCATCAGCTTCTTACAACCTAAAATATTTGAAATTCAAAATTATTACAGATATTGACATATACATATGAGAGTGATTAAAGACGAATAAATATATCATGGTGTAGCGAAGATTCCGATAGAGTTAATGAGGTCATAAAATTTTGTCTCAAATAAATAGAGTTTGAAAGGGAAAGTTCCAGAACATTGAAATAGTGATTAGAACTCATGAAAATAGATTAATGGTAATAAAGAAAATATGAATTGAAATCAATCATTTATGTATGATGTAATCTAAAAGAGTTGGAGTAATGCTGCAATAAATAAATAAGTAGAAATAAATGAATAAAAAGAGGGCTATTGTTACCAGGGTAAAGAAAGGTTTATTACTGTCTCTTTTTGTATACGTAGATCTGGTTTTAGACGTTTGATAGCAATCTTTGTTCTTGCTCTCTTTAAGATAATAAAGGGAACTATGTGTATGATAATAGAATAATTGTTTTTTTAGGTTAAAGTACTTTATGTCATCACAAAATTAAAGTGTTGAGTAGATTTTCTAAGCAACTTAAAAGTACAACATTAATCTGAAAAAAAAACTAATATTTGTGAGATTTTAATTTATGAACGACCTTTGAGGGACGCCAAAGTGACCTTGGGAGTGTCTACTTACTTAGTAAATGGGGGTTATAAAGCAGTTTGAAGAATAAGGATTATGATTTACAATTGATTAGGGTTAGCAATTAGATCGTAAATCTGATTGGATCGTTCATAAATTATAGTCTCGGCTATTCGTTAAAGATTAGACTCGGAAGTTTTGGTAATCATTTCGCTGGTCGATGTATACTTGGGAGATATATAATTGATACCAGCTTTTGCGAAAGTGTACATTTGTAATTATTAAGTAATCTGTACCATTTTAAATATTAGAGTATGGAAATCCTCAGATGAACGACTAGAAATTTTGCTGTGAAAGGGATAAAAATGTCGAACTCAAAGGATCATGCTTATTTGGGCAAACCTAAATCCATTTCAATAATTTCGGGTACGACAACTTAATCCCTTATCATTGTATAGTCTTTCTCACGTATTTTCGATTCGTCTGAGCTTTTATTCATTTGACCTTATTTAGTTTACGTATAGAACTGTATTAATTAGGATATCAATGATTATCCCATTTCTGCAGTCCAATTTCATCTCATCAACACACTTTCAACATTTATGAAATGAACTGATTGTTTCAGATACTGAATAATGTTCCACGCATATTCGTACGTGAAAATTGATTGTTTAATGGAAAATTTATTTACATAATATTTTCAAAGTAAATCTGTTCTATATTACATCTACTGAAAGTTAATTAGTTGAATATTAATTCGGTGCATGGAAAACCATTACTGTTTTCTTCGCTAACAATGTTTCAACCAATTATTGAATGAAAACATCTTGACAACAGAAAACACAAGTTTACTGTTCAATTACACTTCCAATTTTTTAAAAAAAACCCAATCTAAACTGATGTTTTAGATTAATTGCCATTTATGTAATAATATTTGTAGCGCACTTGGTATCTATCCACCGGAAAAATACATGTTCATGGTTCTAATGTCAAGTTATGGAATAATGGGTAGGTTGAACTGCTTGCCGTCATCAATATATTTAGATTTTTGAAAGAAAATACTCTTCAATACATACTGAATTTGAGTTTCCCGTATTATATATCGCAACATAATGATAATTTAAATGTTAATTTAGGTACGTTAGACATCGACATGACCTGAGATCTATTCTTAAAGTACTTTGAATGTGATCATGCATACAATAGTGATGATTCTCACACATGTACCTAAGTTCCAATCATAAACATTCCTAATGAAGCCTTTACATGGGATTAAAAGCTTGTTAGAAGATACGTATAATTAAGTATTTCGTCTACTAAATTACTGGTTTGTTAAATGAAAAGTTTGACTTTCTGTATTAACCAGTCAGTTCAAACGACGTTCAAACAAGCGTTTATTCATAGCAAGCAATAACTTTGAGTGAAATAGAGATAATACCTACTGTACCGATAACCCTTGCTTCTGTTTCTATTATGCAGATAACAGACAAGATTTTGGTTTTTCTGTGTTATTAGGACAAGTTATCTAAATTATTTATCTAATTTATTTATTCGATAAAAACAATAAACGTCCATTTTTGTTGTGTTTCAGCTACTTTGAGTCAATGGATTTGGTGTTGGAAAGCTGGAGATCAAATAAGAAAAATGAGAAGATCCATAATACTTCATTTTCTACGTGTAGTTGTTGCGGTATTTATGACGATAGCTGGGATGTGTATAGTCGGACTTTCTTTTATTAACGTATGTTTATCAGCCTTTTCATTTATGAGTATTGATATCAATCTAATTTATAATGTTGTTTTTTTAAGAAAAATCTGATTTCAGAGAACAGAGTACAAAAACTCAACTCAAAGAGAATATTTAAGAGATAATAAATTAATATCAGATGGGTTTTGTGGATATTATAGTAATTTCAATGGTTAAGATCATGGTCCAGTTGAAGCTTGACCACCATTGAAAACGTGAAAGCACTAGACGGCCGTTTTGTCCTATTGTGGGACTCTTCAACATATGCTCACTAGTGACTGGTTTCACGAGGTATATCCTGAAGTTCTAGAGAGAAGTAGTGACCAGTGGAGTTCAACCAGGTCTGCTGTGAGATTGTAACTCACTGAAGACAATGGTGGATGTGTCGCTCAATTTTGTGGATTAGTTAAAGTTAGACAAAAGCACCGTTGGATGTCGACTCAGTGGTTTAGTGGTTAAGTGCTCACGCGCGAAACCAGTAGGTCCTGGGTTCGAATCTCGCAGGGGACGAGGTCATGGATGCGCACTGCTGAGGAGTCCCACAATCGGACGAAACGGCCGTTAAGTGCTTGCAGGTTTCCCATGGTGGTCTAGCCTCAACTGGCTCATGATCTTAACCATTGAGATAATAAACTGTCAAAACTGTGTGAATTTAAGCTTTCAAGTATTTTAAATTATTCTTTCCCATTCTCATTTTCTTACTTTTTAATAGAACAGATACTATGAGTAGTTTGAGGATAAAGCTGCACTAAATAAAAATAACAAAAAATACCTTATCACTTGATTAGAAATAAAGCTTATTTTAATTGATATGATTCATTATGATTGTGCTGGTGTTTATATCAACTCCGCCTGGAGTCCCTCCGGGGGCTACTGCCGGTCCCAAGCCCGGATAAAGGAGGAGGGTTGGGCATGGGGTTAGCGTCCCCATCCCGTAGAAAACTAACTCTCTAAAAAAACGCTAACCAGATAAAGTTATTCACACCTTTTAAACTCTGCCCTGGGAGTCAGAAGGTCTTCGTTTAGAAGAACTATGACGCCTCATGATGAAAGCCGAATTCCTTCGGAAGTTACGAGGCCGATGCCTCTTCTGACAACCAGAGCAACAATTTGTTTAGGTACATGGAATGCTCGTACAATGTGGGACACCGGGAGAGCCTTCCATATCGCTACAGAAATGAGGAGTTACAACCTAGAGGTGCTTGGGACCAGTGAAATACATTGGATGCAAGTTGGACAACAACGACTAACTACAGGAGAGCTCCTGTTATACTCCGGCCATGAAGAAGAAAATGCACCACATACACAAGGAGTTGCATTGATGCTGTTCAAACGAGCACAAAATGCACTTATAGGATGGGAATCTCATGGACCGGGGATCATCAAAGCCTACCTCAAAATAAAGAAAGAGAGTATATCAATGAACATCATCCAATGCTATGCGCCTACCAACGACTACAATTCTACGATAGGCTGCAGTCAATCGTCGAGAAGTGCCCAACAAAGGACCTGACTATTCTGATGGGAGATTTCAATGCCAAGGGTGGAGTGGACAACACTGGATATGAAGACATCATGGGACGACACGGACTGGGAGAAAGGAACGAAAACGGTGAGAGATTCGCAAATCTATGTGCCTTCAATAAGCTGGTCATAGGCTGCACCATATTCCCACATAAACGCATTCACAAAGCCACATGGACTTCACCGGATCACACTACGCAGAACCAAATCGACCATATTTGCATCAACAAAACGTTCAGGAGGACTAATGAGGACGTGGGAACCAAGAGAGGAGCTGATATAGCATCAGATCATCACTTGCTGGTCGCCAAGATGAAATTGAAACTCAAGAAGCACTGCACAACGGGGCGGACAATATCACAAAAGTTCAATACGGCCTTTCTTCAGGATACTAACAAACTCAACAAATTCAAGATAGTCCTCAGCAACCAGTTCCAGGCCTTTCATGATCTACTCAATGGAGAAGGAACTACTGTGGAGAGCAACTGGAAGGGGATCAACGAGGCAATCATCTCAAAATGTCATGAGGTCCTGGGTCACAAGAAGCACCATCACAAGGAATGGATCACTGTTGATACATTGGATAAGATTCAAGAAAGAAGGAACAAGAAGGCAGCAATCAATACCAGCCGAACAAGAGCAGAAAAAGCCAAGGCACAAGCTGAATACACAGAAGTAAACAAACAAGTGAAGAGAAGCATCAGAACTGACAAACGTAAATATGTGGAAGATTTAGCAACGACGGCGGAAAAGGCTGCAAGAGAAGGAAACATCAGACAACTGTATGACACGACAAAGAAACTCTTTGGAAATCGCCGCGAACCAGAGCGACCAGTGAAAAGCAAGGAAGGCGAGGTAATTACCAACATTGAAGAGCAACAAAACAGGTGGGTAGAACACTTCAAAGAACTCTTGAATCGACCAGCGCCACTGAACCCACCCAATATCGAAGCAGCACCCATGGACCTCCCAATCAATGTTGGCCCACCAACGATTGAAGAAATCAGCGTGGCCGTCAAACAAAGCAAGAGTGGCAAAGCAGCAGGACCGGACAACATTCAAGCAGAGGCACTGAAAGCGGACATAGCGGCAACTGCAAGGATAGTCCACATTCTCTTCAGTAAGATTTGGGATTAGGAAAAAGTACCAAAAGACTGGAAAGAAGGACTCCTGATCAAAATATCAAAGAGAGGCGATCTCAGCAACTGTGATAACTACAGGGGCATCACTCTTCTCCCAATACCGGGAAAAGTCTTCAACAGGGTATTGTTAAACAGGATGAAGGACTGCGTAGACGCCCAACTTCGTGACCAACAGGCAGGATTACGTAAGGATAGATCGTGTACAGACCAAATCGCAACTCTACGGATCATTGTGGAACAATCAATTGAATGGAATTCATCACTCTACATCAATTTCATCGACTACGAAAAGGCATTTGATAGCGTGGACAGAACAACACTATGGAAGCTTCTTCGACACTACGGCGTGCCTCAGAAGATTATTATTATTATTAGCTTTATTCAATATTATATTTTTGGTACAATATAGAATTCTCAGCGCAAAGTATTTCAAAAGGTTCCCGTTTCTTTCTTCCTGGTCGGTCCTGGCGATAAATATTGAGTGATCGCAGTTCGATGTTAACAGTCCAGTAAATGAACATTTGAATGATGTACATTTTTTTCGTTGTATATTGCCAGCAACCGCATTCTCTCTTATTGAGCCTTTTTTAATTTTGACAACGAAAGGTTGAACACTTTTTAGAAACGCAGAAGAATAGGTTATGCGATGAATAGACATAATGATATATTAAAACAAACAAAAATAGATAACTTGTTGAAGATAGTCAATATCATACAGAACTCATATGATGGATTAAACTGCAAAATCGTGCATGGAGGACAAATTGACAAAGTCGTTCTAAGTAAAGACCGGTGTCAGGCAAGGTTGCTTACTCTCACCCTTTCTCTTTCTCCTGGTGATCGACTGAATCATGAAGACGTCAACATCTGAAGGGAAACACGGGATACAGTGGACTTCTAGGATGCAGTTAGACGATCTAGACTTCGCAGATGATTTGGCCTTTCTATCCCAAACGCAACAAGAAATACAGGAGAAAACGACCAGTGTAGCAGCAGCCTCAGCAGCAGTAGGTCTCAATATACACAAAGGGAAAAGCAAGGTTCTCCGATACAACACAGAACGCACCAACCCAATCACACTTGACGGAGAAGATTTGGAAGATGTGAAAACCTTTACATATTTGGGCAGCATCATTGATGAACAGGGTGGATGTGATGCAGATGTGAAGGCGCGGATCGGCAAAACAAGAGCAGCATATTTACAACTGAAGAACATCTGGAACTCAAGGCAACTGTCAACCAACACCAAGGTCAGGATTTTCAATACAAATGTCAAAACAGTTCTACTGTATGGGATAGAAACCAGGAGAACTACGAAAGCCATTAACCAGAAAATACAGGTGTTTGTTAACAGTTGTCTACGCAAAATACTTCGGATCCGTTGGCCAGACACTATTAGCAACAACGTACTGTGGGAGAGAACAAAGCAGATCCCTGGAGAGGAAGAAATCAGGATGAAGCGCTGGAAGTGGGTAGGACACACATTGAGGAAAGCACCCAACTGTGTCACAAGACAAGCCTTCACATGGAATCCTCAAGACCAAAGGAAAAGAGGAATACAAAAGAACACATTACACCGAGAAATGGAGATAGACATGAGAAAAATGAACAAGAATTGGATGGAACTAGAAATGAAGGCCCAGGACAGAGTGGGTTGGAGAATGCTGGTCGGCGGTCTATGCTCCATTAGGAGGAACAGGCGAAAGTAAGTAAGTAAGTAAGTGTTTATATCATTTGGTTGACGAAACTATGTAGCTTACTTTCATGTTCTCACTTGAAAACTGTGTGATTTCAGTCAGAACAAATGACAATTTGAATAAATTGTTTTCCGGTAAACAACTTTTGATAAACTGATTCCATATAAAAGCTAGTTATGAGAAACAAGAAAACTTTGATGTCATTTACCAATACTTCAGTTAGATTTATTCAAACTCTTACTTTATTAACTTTAATTAATTTATTTATTTATTATGATTTGAATAGACAAAAGAAAACAACGCTGAACATTATCATTTGACTTTATTGAATTTTATTTGTCATGTTATTGCAATTCCTTGTGGAGCAGTTGTAATCGCCTGTATTTCAAACAAATGGATATTATATTGTTTTGGCAGACTATTTGTTGTTATTCAAATGGTACTGGCATCTGCTTCATGTGAGTGTTTATAAAACACAAAAAATTCTTACTAAATATTACACAAGTTCAACTACATTCGATACATAGTTTTTGCATGATAATTAATGAGATTTAAACTTTGAAAATATTGGACCTATTTAAAATATTCTATTTACATTCATAAATCTGCTAGAGAAAATTCCCAATATACATATATAAAAAAGAAATATAAACAAAGAATATGCTTTTAAATAACTTTTAATAACTTAATTACCAGAAAAACCAAATATTCATTCAAAGATTTCACAATACATGAAATATGGTTTGACTAATATTTGACGAAAATGTATAATCCTAGTCATAAGATAATAAATACCAGTGGAGTCCAACCTGGTCTGTTGTGAGATTGTAAATCACTGAAGACAATGATGGATGCGTCGCTCAATTTTGTGGATTAGTCGAAGTTAGACATTAACATCGTTGGATGCCGGACGGCTCAGTGATTTAATCGTTAAGCGTTCACGCGCGAGACTGATAGGTCCTGAGTTCGAATCCCGCGAAGTGAGATAGTGAATGAGCACTGCCGAAGTGTCCCGTAATAGGAGGAAACGGCCGTCCAGTGCTTCTAGGTCTTCCATGGTGGTCTAGCTTCAACTGACTCATGATCTCATCTATTGAAATGAATTATATGTTAATGTCTCAAGAAAAATTCTGATATTTCAGAAAGGAAACATTATTAAGCAAAGTGCCGTTACAATGATTCATAAAGTATTTACACCTTAAATAACTGATATACATGATATTACAATGAAGTTGAGACATATACTTTAGTATTTTGAGACACCTTATTCTCTTTTATTACTTGTTATACTTGTTATTTCAATGTTGATTTACTATAATACGGTACTAAAGTTAATTATCATATGTAAAATTAACAATCATAATTAATAATTTCAACGCACCCGAAGCGAGTTAGTAATTTTTTAACTTCAAGGCATAAATACTCAGTGTAAACCTGGTTACATTATTGATAGGTTGATTAGTTTTTGAACTACAACAAATGATTGTCTCCCTTCTTAATATTAAGCATGTTTCTTTAACAAGCAGATTGTAGATTATGATTTCCTTTAAAAGACAATACTACTAATGTGAATAACTTAGAGTACGATATTCCGAAACAGCGTTTATGACTTCATAGTTAGGAAAAAGATAATATAGATAATGCACTATTGAACCATTGAAACCACTGTTAAAAATGGCTATAGAACATAGTAAATGCTTAAAATAAACAGTGAATCAGTGATGGAAAAGCTTAACAAACTGTGAATGTTTATTCAATGTGTTTATCGGGACCTTAGGTCCCAATAATTCATTAACTCATCTTATTTAGGTATGTTGATAACTAAGAATCCTTACCGATCAGTCATTGTATATAATACACAAATCTTGTATGACAGTAACAAATAATTCCTATTCTGAATATTTCATCGTTTATACAGCTTTTTTGTTCAAGGGAGCTATCTTCAATAATGTAACAACACGAGGTTGAAGTTCCTATGAGTTTGCTTATGAGAAATCACAATAAAAATAGCTTTAATCAATTTGATAGTTTGAATCTTGCATGGGTTACAAAAAGCAGAAGTTTAGTTTTGTTTCATAATGATAACAGTCATAAAGTGTAAATACTTGTTACCACTAATAAATCAAGTATATCTTTACGATTCCCGATAGAAACAGTAAATATGAAATCATTTTAAGTAAATGATTTTATATTCTACAAGCATTGAGAATATTTATATTGTCAGAAGGGGTTTGTGGAGATTTTAGAAATTTCACAGACTGAAATCATGAGTCATTGAAGCTAGACCACCATAGAAAACCTGGAAACACTGAACGGCCGTTTCGTCCCATTGTGGGACTCCTCAGCAGTACGCATCCACGATCCCGTCTCTCGAGATTCGAACCAGCTTAACCATTAGATTACTGAGCCGTCCGGCATCCAACGGTGTTAATGTCCAACTTCAACTAATCCACGAAATTGAGTGAAATTGATTTAGCTTCAATTGACTTAAGATCTCAACTATTAAAGTTACTATAATATCCACAAAACCCTTTCTGAAAATAGAATAATTGTTTTTTTAGATTAAAATACTTTATGTCACCATAAAAACAAAGTGTTGAGTAGATTTTCTAGGCAACTTAAAAGTTGATAGGTCCTAGGTCCGATTCTCGCGGGGTGCGGGATCGTGGACGCGTACTGCTGAGGAGTCCCATACTAGGACGATACGGCCGTCCAATGCTTCCAGGTTTTCCATGGTGGTCCAGCTTTAATTGACTCATGATCTGTTAAATATTTATATTGACATATAGGGTTGTAGACATATATAACGAAATTTTTCTTTTGTTTATCAGGTTATTCAGCTGATAGAATGTATCTAATTATAAATGTGTCATTGTTTATTTTAAAAATGTTAACTTATATTTTTCATTTATCAGTTGTACATTTCAATATGATTGGACTTAAAGTTTTAAAAGCGAAAGATTTCTTCTATATCAAACCTTATGAATCGGTAAGTGATATATGAGAGCACAAACTTTGTTTGTTAAAATTGATAAATTAGTCAGATAAGGACAAAGTATAGGATGGCATTATTACTGAAGGCTGAGTTTCTGCTTACAAACATAAAAAGTTAAAGTACTTTCAGTCTTTCTCAAATATTTAAATAGTGTCCTTTTCAAGTTAAGGGTTAAATTAGTTCATTCCGATGGTCTTCTTCATGATTAATCATCTCTTTAGGTTGCGTTGTCTTCATTTGTCCTTGTATTCAAAGTTGAAAGCCTCGTTGATTGACCTTTAAGCAAGTAGTTGATCAAACATTGTTATCCCACATTCGGGATCGTGAAACCACACTGCTTAGAAGTCCTATACTACGACGAAACGACAGTTTAGTACTTCCAGGTTTTCAATGGTAGTCTAGCTTTAATTTGCGAATTCAACTGTGAGACGTTTTGTACAAGTTGATAAGCCACGTCTATCTTAATGTGTCGGTTGATTGGCAATTGATCTGAATGTCAGGTTTCTAGAAACTCACAGGTAATATTACAAATCATTTGATTCAGGATTTCAAATTTTTTTCAGTCGAATTCATGCACGTGGTTGTCTGTGTAAAATGATATCAATGGTAATATATCATGAACTTTCAACCATAGTATGTGTCGATATATCCGTGAGAGGGCGATTTCCACATAGTCTAATGTATAGATTATCAAAGATGGTAGAATTTATTCTATGAACTGTGTGGCATTTATTTTCTTTCACTGTTACTATTGTTTATAATGAAAGTGAAAACTTCACAATTATCCTACATAGACCAGGCGATTCCATTACTTCAAAATAATACTATTCTAACAATAAAGTAGTAACTGTCGTCTAAATATTTTACTTTGGTAAAGCTGAAAGTTATGAGATAAATGATAAACTTAAATTTGAAATTTGAAAATATATAACAATCATAGTTGTAATTAGATTAATCATAAAATAATATTTTTTGTATTTATACAGGGTTATATTGAATTTGTATGGAGTGCAGTAAGCGAATGGTGCGTTGTTTTGGGTTGTGCAGAATTAACATTTATTATAGCTTTGGAACTTCGAGATTTTCAAAAATCGGTTATGAATTTACAAAGAAGTTCGAATTTAGATGTGTAGTTAGTTTAAAAGGAAAAGATCCAAAATGTAAAAAATATATTTTTTTAGATTATTTTAAAAGATCATTGAATGAAAATAGTACAAAGATCTAGGATTTCTGATTGAAGATATTGTACATATAACTGACTATTTAAAATTACTTAGCTGAAATTTATAAACTTGATAAAAGTTAGAAATTGTGTTTTCGGTTATTCATATATTGATTTTATCAACACTATTTGTCAGATGTTTTCTATGGAGATGTTATTTGTATATGGTATCTTAATATAACATTCTTGTTATCAAGATATTTTGATGACAATAACTTGTACAGTATTCAAAGCTTATTTATTGAACAAATAAAAAAATATTTCTAATAAATTGTGTTTATATCTGTTATGACTTGTGACCGCCAATTAGGGAGCAGTGACTTATCGATCGTATAAATGACGCGTAAAACACGTGCAAGCAGTCTAGAGTCCTGATTGGCCCTGTTTCTTGTCTAGCCCAGCCAGTTAAGTCCAGAACACGAGTCTCAGCCTCTGCGATATGAATCCTGTATTTCAAACATACTCTGTTTTTATAGACCAATCAAGCAGACCACATCGTACCATAAAATAGAAAATAACATTTGTACAATATTTGGCCAACAGGAAAATGGCACGTGAAATAAATATTGGCCAATAGGAAAATGACACCATGTCACGTTCAAGGATAGCATTAGACTTAACAGGATGATTTTTGGGATATATTTCTGAATATCCCAATAATATCTCAATAATTTATAGGATATTCTTTAATGTTGGATTGTTTGATGATATTGGTTATGTATTGTGATTATTTTTATCATTGTAGTGTTTTTGTAAATATAAAGGAAAACAACTAAAAATATACCTTATTCATGGGTACATCAATATTATCTTAATTATTTAATGAATTCGACAATAGCTAGTTGATTACATAAAAACCAATATTAATCTCACCATTTTAGATTTATGTACTTCAGACATAAATTCTGTGGTGTGTGCTACTAATATCGACAGATATAAGTAGTATGTATCATCAATTTAAAGTGAAGGTTAAGTAGATTGAAGAAAAGAGAACGAGAACAGAGAATGATTGGTGTGGAAACGAAATAACAATGAAATTTGACACGTTTGATTGACATTTTGCAAATAAAGTATTTACCGTATGGTTCTTAGATTTTACCAAAACGTTCTCTAAGTTTGTACATTTGATTGTTCTCATATGTGTTCTCGTTCACTAAAGTACTAGTTAATAAATTTCGAAGTTGATTCCAACTTCATAAGTAGATAACTATGTGATAATCATAAAAACCTGTTTGTAAATGTAGATACTTCTAATAACTAATTTTATTTTCATACAGCTTTCATTGAGTTCTTTGAAATGTTTTGAAGCATCATCAACTTAAAAGTTCAGTAGGGAAAAGTAGTGTACAGAAGATAAATATCAAGATGTTTAACTGAATAGCAATAATTATTGTAAAACTATTACGTTACTTACCGATTAAAAAAGTAAAATGCATCAGTTATTCAGTAAACAAACACTAATTTTGAAAAACATCCGTCATTTCTGGAGATTATTAGTGGTCCACATTGTTACTGTTAAATTCACATTTTGTATTTAAACAACATTATATATATTATCAGAATGGGTTTTGTGGAGAGTTTTTAGAAATTTCATAGGTTGAAATCATGAGTCAATTGAAGCTAGACCACAATGGAAAACCCATTCTGATAATAATAAACTGCTCACTAGTGACTGACTTCAAGAAAAACTCCTGGAGTTCTTGTGAGAAGTAATTACCAGTGGAGTTCAACCAGGTCTGTTGTGAAATAACAACTCACTGAAGACAATGGTGTACGGTGGCGCAACTTCGTGGATTAGTTGAAGTTAGACATTAACACCGTTAGATGCCGGCTCAGTGGTCTAGTGGTTAAGTGCTCACGCGCGAAACCAGTAGGTCCTGGGTTTGAACCCCACGTGGTGCGGGATCATGGATGCGCACTGCTGGGGAGTACCATACTAGGACGAAATTGCCGTCAAGTGCTTTCAGGTTTTCCATGGTGGCCTTGTAGTGTCAGTTATTATGGCAAGCCCATATACCTTATTCTAACTTCCGGACATCCTATTTTATTCATTTTACTTGAGCCATATTTTGACCTTGTCAATTATTCGCTTGTCAGTCTTGACTGTTTTTTATATGAGCGTATATGAGTGTACACTTCATGTCCCATGATTCATTGTATGTCTGTAGCTTGTTTTGTCTGACTATAAATATGGAGTAACACTTGACTAAAATGGAGTTGGCTTCCCAGCCATCTTCCCTGCGCGTCATTTCGTTTTGTTCTATCGCATTCACTTTACATACAAAATATATGTATTCAAATGCCATTCTCGTTGATTGACTTATTTAATTTCGTTATTGACTAACGCGATTCAAGTCGACGATGATACACGAGAATCAACGTTAACAAACATTTATACGATCTTGGAGTCAGATCTACGAGCCACCTAAAGTGGTGAGCCCTCCAACGAATATCATCGATCTAGATGAGGACAAAATCAAACCACGGGCCTATACTAAAGTCTAGCTTCAATCGACTCATGATTTCAACCTATGAAATTATATATAGTAATTGGTGATCTGACTCCTTATACTGGTTTCCATTATCATTGATGTTCAGTAATTATCCTAACTATAATCAAATGAATCATAATTTTAATTCAGGTTTAACATTATTTTCAGTATGAAAAAGACAATAATTAAGTAAGAATAGGATAGAAATCATGACATTAAAGAGTGTATTTCGTAGAACTTTTCACCTATGAATAACTCAATCTTGCACATACATATATACACACAATTCGTTCAGTAATTTATTTCCACACTGTGAACTTTCCACATGATTTGCATTTAACTGACCCATGCTGTTATATTAACCATGACAACATCCAATTATGATTGGATTAACACAGTGTAGATTTGATCTGATTTGATCGTTAAACGCTATATATTTCTTTGATAATCTAGATTTTCATTATTATCATAAAGACGTTCTGACAAGTTTGCTGAACGAAAATTTGGAATTATTTAAACTTAAATCGTTGAGTTTATTTCAATGCTAGGTTACTAAAAGGCTAATAGTAGATTTAAAGATAACAATGGACTCAATTTACATTAAAAGTTGAGCTATGTCGACAAAAACAAGACATTCGTTTACTTAGCTACTTACACACTTGATCAATTACTTACTTACTTACTTCATTACGCCTGTTATTCATCTTCGTGGAGTAGCATGGATCGCTGATCATTACACCACTACCAGTTCCATCCTGAGCTCTCATTTCCCGTTGTACCCAATGTAATGTTTAACTGCGATTCCCGACGCAATGAATTATTTGGAATTCAAATTTTCTGTTTCCCTTCATGATTCCAAGTTAACGCTTATCTCAAGATGCAGTCTGAGGATTTCCGTAATGTATATCCTATCCACATCTAGCATCCTTTTCTAATTCAATCCTCAACTGCAAGTTGGCTCGTTCTCTTCCACAATACACTCTTGCTGATGGTATCCGACAAACAGATATAGAGTATTTCGAGTAGATGATTGTTTATAAATACTCGTAAATGTTTGATGACTGTTGTGGTAGTTCTCGAAGTTGCAGTTCAGTATGGTAGAACTATCTTGACGTTCGTATTGAAGAATGTGAATTTGATGTTGGCTTGCAGACAGTTTTGTTTTGAATTCTATATGTTGTTTAAGTGAACGAATGCTGTTCATACTTTGCAATTCCTGCTTTAACTTCTGAAACAGATAGAAATAATTAATAATTTATTTGAACGAAATCGACAGATGCAGATTGTTATCAAGTGAACTGATACTATTGATGATGACGTGATAAAATCAACCAACATGATATGGGTGTGTTCACCCGGAATTTAAGTGACAAAATGCAAAGTTGACTCCGTACTTTGAGGGTCTCATGTTAGGAGAAGTAAAAACCTAGGTCAAAATGAAGTTTACTATTCCCCATTTGTAATGCATCATTCCCAACCAATACATATACGCCACTCAAGTCAGTTGTTTGTGTGTGGGCGGTGATACTGACCAGTTGTCCAAACCGAAGCAGAAGAGGACTTCTATTATTACCTCTCAACATAGTCTCTGAGTATAGTCTGATACATATTAGCTATTCTGACAGAGAGATATAGTTCGTAACATCGTATGTTGATTGATATCATCTAGAGAATTGTAGTTAACTTATTATCTTAATCAACGAGAGTCAATGGTGTAATTGAAAAACGCAATCCAAAGTACAACACAAAAGATCTAAGTGTATAGAACATGTAATAAGACATGACGATTTTCGTTACTTTCTACATGTATTCATATTTCAATAATGGAACTTGATATTAATTATTCTGAAAGCAAGTGTTTGTACAAACATGTATGGCATTGGGTGTCATCTGTTCTAGATAGTGTCCAACACGTTTGTGAAGCATGTTACAATGATCACAGCATTAACAAATCGTCTCTGTGAATTGATTATCAGTAGTACTTCATTTCTATCACGGAAAGTCGTGCGAATATAATTCCTCTATTTTGTATTGTCTACAATATACAACTACAAATTTTAGTAGAAATGTTAACAAGGATTCATAGTAATTTGATTTAAGATTTATAGTAAAATATCTGCAACATGATGAATTCGACTTCACTTACTCATTACTCCATATGAACCCAGAAAACACATAATCATGTATTTTTCCGGTGAATAGATTCCGAATGAACTGGAAAAGCATAAAATTATTATTTGTGAATAGTTATATTGAATTGCTGTATACACATAATCATTATATTTTAGGAAATAACCAAAATTGTGGTCTGTTTCTAAACCTTCTTCATTTAGTGATAAACTATGTGAAACTCGAACTGCATTCCTAAATATCATAAACGACCACGTTTCTAATTGTCATCAGATCTTCTTTGTATTTT